ACTGTTAGCAGTGTGGTTCTGTTAGCATCATGGTACTGTTAGCAGTGAGGTTCTGTTAGCAGTGTGGTTCTGTTAGCAGAGTGGTTCTGTTTGCAGTGTGGTTCTGTTTGCAGAGTGGTTCTGTTAGCACCATGGTTCTGTTAGCACCATGGTTCTGTTAGCAGCACAGTCTTGAGATGACTGAGAGCAGAAAATCCATTTTGAGGACATTTGCCCAACTAGCTTTTGTTTGTACTCAAACTGTAAATAGACATTTGTACAATAAGGGAACCTTAACAGGACTCTTACAGGTGCATCTCAGAAAATTAGAACATCATGAAAAAGTTCAGTATTTCTTGTCAATCATTTCAGAAAGTGAAGCTCATATTTTGCATGGATTCACATAGTGAATTATTTCAGCATTTATTTCTTGTAATTTTGATGATTGTCTTGTAAATAATGAAAAAACGTAATTCATTAATTTTCTTCGCAAAAGTAAGAAAAAAAGAGCCTTCAGGGAGGGAGACAGAGAATTATTGAGGAGTACACAGAAGCAACTAAAAGTCAAGATAAGAAACAGCAAGGAGGTGTACAAGAAGAAGCTGGAGAGCAAACTCCAGCAGAACAATATCACAGAGGTGTGGTCAGGGATGAAACAGATCACAGGCTTCAAGCAGAAGGAGGATCAGAAGGATGGAAGCCTGGACAGAGCCAATGAACTGAACACGTTCTTCAATAGGTTCAGTTCAGGAACAAGCTCAGCATCCTCCTCTCTTGTCTACAGCCAAACAGATATACCACCCTCCATTGACCCAAGGCTGTCCTGTCACACCTCAAATATTGTATCTACCACCTCAGTCATGGATCCTTCTTCTTCTACATGTTGGTCTTCAACCAAATCAGAAGATGCTGATACCTCCTTTGCCTCCATCTGCGTCTCTACAAGTCAGGTGAGGAAGCAGCTGGAGAGACTGAACCAGAATAAGGCTGCAGGTCCAGATGGTGTCAGCCCCAGAGTACTGAAGGTCTGTGCAGAGCAGCTCTGTGGGGTTCTGCAGCACCTCTTCAACCTTAGCCTGACCCAGGAGAAGATTCCAGTGTTGTGGAAAACATCCTGTCTTGTTCCAGTACCAAAGAAAACTCACCCATCAGTCCTCAATGACTATAGACCTGTTGCCCTGACATCCCACATCATGAAGGTCCTAGAGAGACTTCTGCTGACCCACCTGACTAAACAAACAAGCACATATCAGGACCCACTGCAGTTTGCTTATCAGCGTGGACTTGGAGTTGAAGATGCCATCATACACCTGCTTCAGCAGACTCACTGTCATCTAGAAAAGGCAGTCAGCACTGTGAGAGTCATGTTCTTTGATTTCTCCAGTGCATTTAACACAATCCAGCCTGATTTGCTTTGTCAGAAACTCCAGAAGACTCAGGTGGAGGCCTCAACAATCACCTGGATCAAAGACTACCTGACGGACAGACCACAGTTTGTGAGACTGAAGGGTTGTGTGTCTAACCAGGTGGTCAGGAGCACCACAGGGGACTGTACTCTCACCATTCCTTTTCACTCTGTACACCTCAGATTTCCAGTACAAAACAGACTCCTGTCATCTGCAGAAATATTCTGATGACTCTGCAGTGGTCGGGTGTATCAGAGATGGACAAGAAGCTGAGGACAGGGAACTGGTGGACCGCTTTGTGGCATGGTGTGGAAACAGTCATCTCATCTTGAATGTGAACAAAACAAAGGAGATGATTGTAGATTTCAGGAGAATCAGGAACAGGTCCAACCCTATTTCCATCATGGGAGAAGAAGTGGAGGTGGTGAAGTATAAATACCTTGGGGTTCACCTGGACAATAGACTGGACTGGAGATGCAACAGTGAAGCGTCTACAAGAAGGGACAGAGCAGACTGTACTTCTTGAGGAAGCTGAAGTCCTTCAGTGTTTGCAGCAAGATGCTGCATATCTTTTACTGCAGAACAACTCTTTAATGAAACCAGGATGATGAGTTTCATCCATCCATCCATTATCTTTACCCACTTCTTCCATTTTGGATCATGGGGGTCGCCGGTGCACATGTCCAGCAATCACTGTGTGAGGGGCGGGGGACACCCTGGATGGATCGCAAGTCCATCACAGGGACACATGGAGACAAACAAGACAAACAACCATTCACTGTCTCACTCACACCTAGGGACAATTTAGAGTTACCAATCAGCCTAACATGCATGTTTTTGGACTGTGGGAGGAAACAAGAGCACCCGGAGAAAACCCACGCATGCACGGAGAGAACATGCAAACTCCACCCAGAAAGGCCCCTGGACCGGGATTTGAACCAAGGACCTGCTTGCTGAGAGGCAACAGCTCCACCAGTTGCGCCACCATGCTGCCATCATGAGTTACAACATTTAATTTACCTTTAGGATTAATAAGAAAGTATTTTTGAATTGAATTTATTCATTTTGCTTTTCCTTCTGTTTTGATACTGAACAATCTCGAGTTGAACTGAATTTTTAATTTAAAATCAATGATTTTACCAGAATAATTCAAATTAAAATGGTTCAGTTGGGGGTGGAAAACAATTGTTAAAAATAAAATCAAAAAGTGGCATGTGCATATGTATTCAGCCCCAACATTACCTTCAGATGTTAAATATTTAGTTGATTTAATTTATAGTAAATTGGACAGAAGCTGCTGGGACCCCATGTACCAAAGTCATGGAGAGGGACCCGAAACACTCCATGCCTCAAACTCTGACTCCACAGTGTTGTGTTTTAGAGGTTGAATATATATCCTCCCTTCTTCTGGGGTCACCTCAGCAAAATAAATTGCACAAACACTTGGCAATTATTTTTTACACCAGATGTTCTTCCTGACACAACCACAGACCACCGAGCTACCACAGCCCTCTGTGTGGAGCAGAGAGCTGCTATCTAGGACACCCGGGGGGCAAATGGTGGGGGTTAAGGGCCTTGCTCAAGGGCCCAGAGTGGAGCAAATGAGGGTGGAAGCAGGTGTGGGTGCTTCACCTTTTCCACCCATTTTTAATGTTGTCAGTCCAGGGAATTGAACCTGTGACCTTCCGATCACAGACTCTCCTTCTTTAACCACTGTTCCACCACTCCCCAACATTAAATGCACATATGTCAAATGTTTATGATTCATATGTGTTTGGGAATTAATTACATTTTACTGTCATTATTGTGAACTTCCACAGCAACTAAACGTTAACCAAGTTTAAAAAATAAAAATTCTTCCTTGAGTTTTTGTGTAGACTTGTAGAATAGCCTCTGTCCCTTCTTAGAGCCTTCGACTGTATTTATTTATGCATTTATTTATTTGTCTTTAGCTGCGACGCCTCAAACGTCGTTCTCCACTGCTGCCGTTAGTGACGCTGTCAGTGGATGCTTGCATGTTAAGATCTGTCAAACACTACAAGAAGCACCACCTCACTGTGTTCAGTTTCAAACAAAATCTAAATTCAACTTTTACTTTGAAGTAAAATGAGTTCAGATGTAAAATGCGTGAATGTTTTACTCTAATCGGCTAAATGTTCTCGTGCTGTTCTGTGTCATGTTTTTATATTTCATATTTATTTCTTGTTGATTGATACTAAGGTTTTATGAAATTTAATTCCAATAATGTAAATAAGTAATAATGTTTAGCTTTTTTCAGAAACTGTAAATATGGTAACACAACGGTTTTAATGCAGTACATACCTAATGTTCTTGTGTTCTCTTCCTTCATGTGTTTGGTGGTCTTTGATTCTGTTGTTTGACTTTAGGAACTCACCTCAGAGGCCTGGAGACCACCGCCACATTCGATCCAGCCACCCAGGAGTTCGTCCTGAACTCTCCCACAGTCAGCTCCATCAAGTGGTGGCCCGGAGGACGTAAGCTCATCCACACTGTCGTGTCCCTGACGTTTGTCCCTGACGTTTGTCTTTGATGTCTGTCCCTGATATTTGTCCCCGACCTTTGTCCCTGACGTTTGTCTTTGATGTCTGTCCCTGATATTTGTCCTCGACCTTTGTCCCCGGCATTAGTTTGAAATCTGTCAGCATTTTTAGGTTTAAAAGTAAATAAAAAAAGGAATTTTTCCTGTTGATGCTAAACGTCTTTGAACGCATCGTGGATTTTTTTCCCTTTCCAAAGTAAAAAAGGGTACAAGGCGACAGTCGCGGTATTTTAAATCTGTGTACTTTAGTACATCTTGGCACATCCTGAGTTTAACATCACGGTACCAAAGACGTGAGATTAAAACACTTATTTTTGAAGTTGAGGTGGTTACAGAGTTTGGAGCTGGACTAATGGAGGGCTGCCACTCATTACTATTTGTGTGTGAAAATAATCGTTTTACTAATTTATCAGTGTTTCTGAACTACAATAAAAAATAAATCATAACCTACCATTTTCTTTTATGTTTTTAACAGTCAACTTTGGCGTTTATCGTGTACCACAAAAACTACGGTAAATGTAAAGAAAAACTTGCAAATTAAAGTAAAATACATGTTAAAGATCCAACTACAGCACAGCAAATGAAGCTCCTGTTATTTACTCTTCTCTGACCGCTCGCATCTGATTATAATACAGAGAAAAGATCGTGGAACATTTTAATATTTTTAATACCAGCAAGAGACAGCAGGCAAAGTCATGAAGTCTACAAAATAAGTAAAATATTAGAGCATGCTGAGTGAATGAATACACATTCCCTTGACAGTAGCATCACACAGTCGCTGCAGATTTGTCAACTGGTCAACCACATCCCAGAGGTACTAGACTGGATCTGTAACGATGGAGATCATTGAAGTCCAGGCAAATCTCTTGTCCAGTTCTGGTGACCCCGTGTGAACTGTAGGCTCAGTTTCCTGTTCTGAGCGGACAGTACTGGCCCCTGGTGGTCTTCTGCTTCAAGGTTTGACATGTTGCGTGTTAAATGGGATTTACAGACCTTTTTGTAACGAGTGGTTATTTGTGACACTGTTGGCATGCTGTAGTCTTGAACCAGTCTGACACCACCAACCTTCTAATTCACTAAAATCTCCTTTCTTGTCCGTTTTGCTCGTTTTGAACTCGGCAAGTCGTTTTCACCACATCTGGATGATTACATGCATTGACCTCCTGCCATGGGATTGATTAAATATTTGTGTTAAAAAACAATTGAACAAGTAGACCTACTAAAGTGGAAAATTAATCTGTACGAACTCGTCTGATTATTCTTTATCATTATCTACAAAGTGTCCTGGAAACAAGCTGTGGTAAAACTCAGCAGAATGGGTGTTGTATTGAGCTGTGCTCCCCCGTTTAGACTTTACAGTAAATTTCCAGCCACCAGATGTTTTCCTGCTACAGCAAAAAAAAAAAGATGTAAAATGTTCATACTTTATTAAAAGCACTGCTTAAAATGATAGAGGTTTAGAAGAATGAGGAAATCAGATCTTGAAGCGTGAACAAAACTCTACATAACACCAGCATGGTGTTTATCAGAGGATCATAAGCCCAGATCTTAGTATGAACGTCTCCTCAGAATGTTTTCTCCTGAAGATGTAGCAGACGGCCTGTTGAACTACATGGAGGTAATTTAGCAGATCAAACAAACTTACGGTGGTTTTGTTTTTGCTGCCGGCTCATCACAGCCCATGTGTGCATCGCTCTCATGCTGCTGTAGTGAACCAAGAAAACCTTGACCACCCTTTGACTCGTGGCTAACCTGAGGTGCTTCCATAATTTAGGTGGCGCCAGCAGGTGCTGCCTCCGTCAGAGAACACTGCAACATAAACAAGAAGATTTTAATCTGCTCTCTCTTTCCAGTTGGGAAGACCTCCAACCACGCCATAGTCCTGGCCCAGCTCTACAGTCTTGGAAACTACCACGGTCTGCATGCTTTCATCGTACCTGTTCGTCACATGACCACACACAAACCTCTGCCAGGTGAACAGTGTGTGCAGTTTTCCTGGGTCTGATGTTTTTCTGTGTTTTCGTCCTTGTAACACACCTTTTGTGTTTTCCTTGTAGGTATTGTAGTTGGTGATATCGGTCCCAAGTTTGGTTTTAATGAAGTCGACAACGGCTTCTTGAAACTGGAGAACGTGAGGATTCCTCGGGAGAACATGCTCATGAAATATGCTAAGGTGAAGTGATTTTTCTGAGCTGCTATTTTAAAACACTGAAGGCTTGATTCACTAAACGTGCACGTCTTTGACTTTCCGCTCCGTTTCTGATTGTTTGCACCCTATATTTGCTCGTTTTCCGCATTATTTTGACAAAATGAATAACAGTCTAGACAAGAGCACTGTTGGATAAATCTGAATTTTTTGTGCGCACACTTTCCTCATTGTGTCCGTGCGCCAGCTTTCAGTTCTGCTCACTGTTTGAAACGCCTGATCTGTTGACATGTCTACTGTTGCTGATGTGCACGATTAAATCAGGCACCAAATGGCCAAATAGGTTCACAGCTGTTTATTCAAGGTCAGTGTTCATCTCTAGTGTTTTGCTCCTTCACACCTGTTCTTTTTTATTGACTTTTATATACAAACATATTTAAAAATGAGTTTGATGGGTATTTTACATCGTGAGAACAAAATGTCCTCAATGTTGCCGGGTGCTGAAACGACTGCAGAAACGTAGGTACATATGAACGCTGTTAGACTAAATGTGTGTCAACAAACTGGAAGTAGGCATGAATATATCTAGACCACAATGCATTGCAAAATACTGACACGTGTGCATTAGTAACAGTAAAACAGTCAATGGAGCAGGTGAGCAGGGTACGGCTTTTTATTTTTGCTGCCTCTTTTTTTAATCTAAAAGCATGTTATCGCTCTCAGCAATAAGATAATAATGTTTTTTATTAACAAGCTAAAAATAGTTCAAATTGATCATATATAGAAAAGAATCGCTCCTTTCTACACTCCCTCAGCTTTGAGTTGGTTCAGTCCAACGTGGCTGCAGCTCCTCACCTCTCGGTGTTCTGAAGATGACAACACATTTATTTGTTATTATAGTTTTTGTAGTTTTAAACTTTGCTGCACTTTTTGCTGCAGTGAATTGGACGGAATGAAGATGGGGTTCAAATAATCAAAACTGTGAATACAAACAAACATGCAGATGATGTTGAAATCAACCTGGAGACTTTTTATTTTGGCTATACGGCCTAAAAGTAAAAGTTTATTAACGTCTGTATCCAGCTTTATGTTTACATCATAGCATTTAGCTGTGAATGCTAACCTTTAACGGGGCTTAAACCCTGGTCTCCTATCTAACACCATTACGCCCCCAGTATACTCCCACGTACGTCCATACGCTGAGATACACTCGTACGTACGCGGAGGTACGAGCGTACCCCCGCAGGGCATGTCGTGCAAAGCTAAATTTTTACGACCGTGTACGCGGTGTCGTGCAATAAACTGCTCAACGACGGACAGTTTATTGTGCGACACCAATGTATTAAATTCTCCTTCTTCATCCCTGATCTGGCCCTTTCTTTTGTTTTTGCCAAAAGGCAAATGATCTCTTCCTCCTCCGTTGATGCCATGACTGAAATGGTGAGAAATGAAAGAATTTGTCACAAATGAATTATAAACTCAGGTCCAGCATGGCTGTGGGAGTGTCTGGAGATTTCCTGTTGGGCTGGCCTGATATGTGGGCTGCAGGACCAGCGCTCCGTTTAAAAAAAAAATTTTTTAGATCTTGTTATTACCAACATTCAAACACAGAACGCCGCTGAGGCTGCCGGCTCTCGTTTTTTTTTTTTTTTTTTTTAGACCTGTCAATCAGTCCAGTAGGCGTGTCAGCAAATGACCAATTGGTGACCTCAATTTGTCCCGAAGGTAAACGCCCCTTGTCTGTGGAGCTGACTGCAGCCGCTCAGGGTGTACGCTCGAGTATGAAGTCTGAACCCTCTGCGTACAGTACACGCATACGTACACGTGAACGGACGTACGCGGGAGTATACTGGGGGCTTATCAATTACATTTTCTGCTCTTATAATGATAAGGACACCCCCATTTTATAAACAAAATCAGGGCTCATGCTCCTCAGCTTGTGAAATCTGTCTGCGTCGTGGGGATTCTCAGCACCAAAGTTATTATAGCGAAGCCCCGGTGTGAGGTTTTGTTTACTTCCGTCTTAAAAACAAAGTTGCTCAACAAGAATATGTTTGTTGCGGTGAACCATTAAGCAGCTACATGCAGAGCTGTGGGTTGAACAGTGAGCTGGATGTTTGAGGTTTCCCCCTGTTGTAAGGTCTGACACAACACAACAATTAAAAGATGGACTCCTGACTTCCTTATTTACTCATCTTTTGACATGATATACAGAATTCACCTCACATGGCTGAATTCTGATTCGCCTATCAGAAAGGTGCTTGTAACGTTTGCAGAGCTGAAACGATGGTCGGCTTGTTCTCAAATGTACCGTTTGCAGCAGGTGAAGTTACTGCAGATACACAGAACAAGCATCTTGAGGATGTAGTTTTCACAGCCGTGAACTTCATCGTAATTTTATTAACCTCCTAGGATCTGACATCCACATATCAGAGTCAGTGACATTTATTTGTCATACACATCACATTTGGTACATGTGATGGAACGAGATTATGTACACAGGGTCCCAGTTACATCCAACAATAAAATGTGAAAGAAAAACGGTAATAAGATCTAAGATATGAACTAAGAAATACATCAATTAAATAATACACTAAGCAGTAACAGCATAAAAACATTACGTCGAACAGCAGCATGAACATGAGTCTGTGTGAGCAGATGAGCACGCATGAACACATCAACATGAAACGGATCAACAGCAACATGAAACGGATCAGCAGCAACATGATGGGTTTTCTTTTCACAGTGATTATTCTGGTTAGAGATTCATGAGTCTAACAGCCTCAGGGTAGAAGCTGTTCCTCAGTCTAGTGGTTCTACACTTAATGCTCCTTAACCTCCTTCCTGAGGGGAGTGGGGCAAAAAGTGTGTGTGCTGGGTGAGTGGGGCCCTTCATGATGCAGGCAGCTCTCTTCCTGCATCTGGAGGTGTAAATGTCTGTGATGGTGGGGAGACTGACTCCAACATCTTCTGTGCAGCCTTCACCACTCTCTGCAAAGCTTTTCTTTCTGCAGCTGTGCAGCCTCCATGCCACACGTTGATGCTGGAGCACAAGATGCTCTCCACTGCACACCTGTAGAAGGAGGTGAGGACTGAGCTTCCCAGACCAGCTCGCCTCAACCGTCTGAGGAAGTAGAGTCTCTGATGAGCTTTCTTGATCAGGCTGGTGGTGTTGTTGCCACAGCTCAGGTTGACATTCAAGTGCACACCCAAGTACTTCAAGTACTTGTAGCTGGAGACCACTTCCACCGCAGATCCTCTTATCCTCTTATGTTGGGGGGTGGGTGGGGGGGTTCCTTCTGAAGTCCTGTGGACAACCTGGCATCCACATATGTGGACATTATATGAATTAATAATGCATGTCATGCAAGAGTTCGGGTCTTATGAGGTTATGTAATGTGTAAAATAAATTAAAACCAACTTCTGGAGCACCTTTTGTAAGTCTTGACTCTCTCCACCAGGTGGAGCCCGATGGCTCGTATGTGAAGCCGCCCAGTTCCAAACTGACCTACGGCACCATGGTGTTTGTCCGCTCCATGATCGTTCGGGAGTCAGCTCAGGCCCTCTCCAAGGCCTGCACCATCGCCATCCGCTACAGCACCGTCCGTCGCCAGTCAGAGATCCGACCGGGGTCAGTCAGCACAATTCACAGCACAGATTAACTCTTGAGTACACGTTGAATCAGTAACTACGAGTGAAAAGCTCTGTTAACCTCCATCAAATAGACTTTAGAGAGGCGAAGTGCAAGAACAGTAACACCTGCTTAGGACTAAGTACTCACAATAGAGTGATATATCTTATTATCTATGGTTTTTATTTCCATGTTTTGGCTGTTTACATGATTGGTTTACTTATTTTAGACAAAGAAAAACTAGAATCTTTTGTTATAAAATTGTGAAACTTCTGATCAAAGAAGAACTTTCAACATGTTTGATTTTAGGTTTTGTCTACTTGGTACATGCTAACTTTCACAATGATTCACATGATTTATAAATCCATCCATCCAACCATCATCTTTACCCACTTCTTCCTTTTTGGGTCACTGGTGTCTATTTCCAGTAGACACTGTACAAGAGGCGGGGGACACCCTGGACAGGTCTCCAGTTCATCACAGGGACACATTGAGACAAACAACCATTCACTCTCTCACTCACACCTAGACACAATTTAGAGTTACCAATCAGTCTAACATGCATGTTTTTGGTCTGTGGGAGGAAACTGGAGTACCTGTAGAAAACACACACATGCACGGAGAGAACATGCAAACTCCACCCAGGAAGGTCCCCGGCCAGGATCTGATCCAGCAACATTCTCGCTGAGAGGCAACAGCTCTACCTACTGATCCACCGTGCTGCTTATAACTTATAAATGATTATGAAAACTGCTTATTTAAAAATAACCGACTCTAAAGACGCGCTGTGTATTTTGTTCCGTTGACTTCTGACATTTAACTCCACAATATTGTTGCTGTTCTTCAGAAACAGTCATTCTGTCAAACAGAAGTGCAGGAAACCCTCCAACCCGTGTGTGTTTCTGATCCGCAGAGAGCCAGAACCTCAGATCCTCGACTACCAGACGCAGCAGTACAAACTGTTCCCTCTGCTGGCCACGGCCTACGCCTTCACGTTCATCGGCCAGTACATGACACAAACGTACCACCGCATCTCCGGGGACATCAATGACGGGGATTTTAGTGAGATGCCTGAGGTACTGATGAGCACAGTCTTTCAGAGTTGTTGAAAATAATCATTTTTTATATGAAAACCATTAATGTAATCATTATGTTCCAGTTTAACGGCAAAACGTTAAAGGCCTAGGATTCCTTAAAGCAGGGGTCCTGAAGGGCCACTGTCCTGCTTTAGATGTTTCTCTGCTCCGTCACCCATGATTTAAACCAATGATCAGCAGGCTTCTGCAGAACTTTAAGAGGTAATTTAACCATTGAATCAGGTGTGCTGGAGCAGGAAACTGGTAAAACCTATTGGATAGTGGCCCTGGAGGACCAGCATTGGACACATGTACCTTAAAGAATGCATATCACCCGTCGCCTTTAATACCAACGTTTTAGACTAAAATCATGCTACGTTAACAAACGGGTTAGACCAAACCATGACATGTGTAATCTCATGTGTGTTATTATGAAATCTTGTTAGATGTGTTGCACTCAGATTACGTGATGAAGACTTCCAGCTTCTACCACAACATTTGCTCAGTATCTGTAAAACTGGCTGTCAGAGCCATTTCTGGGTTTCCTAAAATGAATTGGCTGCGGCAGACTTTGACTCCAAAAGTTACTCAGCTGTAGATGTACCTCCCATGGTTAATTTCTTAAACTTTTATTAAAATTAATTGTTAGGTTTTCTAGCACCAAAATACAAAGAATACACTGCTGACGTAAAGTGACAGCACAAGTAGAGGCAAAGTCCATTAAAATTAGTTGTAGAGGAATCACTTTCATTAAAACTGATAAACACAACCTGAAGCTTGGAGGAAGCAGTCGTCTCTTTGATAGCTGCATTAATTATTAATTAATCACCAGGTAATGCATGGACATAGCAGAGGACTCACAGACTGAGAATCAAAGCAGACATTTGTTTAGATCCAGACTTTTTCTTCATGCGAGCTCCTTTTAAAATGATCAAGTCAAAGTGATCTGCCTCGTTTACATGAGAACTAACTCTGGAAACTTAGCGTTTTTCAATGTTTATTGGGAATAATAAACAAAAACTGAGCAGGTTTACATGAGAAATGTTGTAATTTCCATGTCAGTCGGGTTGCCAGACAAGAACTTATGAACTATAGTACTGTTACTTTAAAGTGACAGTATTTTGACCTCATCTGTCATATGTGCTGAGTAAAGATGTTCTGAGATGAGGTGTGTGTTGTGTTTATTGAACGTGCACAGAAAAGGAGGGGATAAATAAGACGGCGTCTGCGTGTCAGTTAGTCCAGACTGGTGAACACACTAACGTCTCTTTGTAACTGGATTTTATTAGTTTTGCTCCATCATGCAAGTGTGAGCAGCACAAAAACACTCTGCTCTCTGACATTTATTAGAACTCTTGTTAGCGCAGAAAAACTTTGGACTGCAGCCGCCTGCAGTGTGCATGTGCGACTTCCCAGTCAGAGAAAAATCTCCACTTTGAGACGTACGGTAGTATGAGAGAATGAGGGCTGTGACTGGCTGCCCTGTATGTCTGTCAACTGACAAATTTCTTAGTTGGGATGGATGATAGGCGGACGTCTATTTTATTTATTATTATTTTTTAATGCCATGCCGTCTACCCATAATGCCTTGGTGATCGACAGGTAGATCGTGATCGATGAATTGGGCACCCCTGCTTTAAAGGTATTTATCTTGTTTGCCTTTTGATCTGCAGCTCCATGCCCTCTCTGCGGGTCTGAAGGCTTTCACCACGTGGGAAACCAGCTCAGGGATCGAAGTGTGCCGCATGTCATGCGGAGGCCACGGTTACTCCCGATGCAGTGCCTTGCCAGACATTTACGTCGAGTTCACCCCAACATGCACCTACGAGGGCGAGAACACAGTCATGATGCTGCAGACTGCCAGGTAACATACAGCAATGCACAAAGTCCTCATCCCGTCATGGTTTCACCACCACATGTTTGCGAGAGTATTTATACACCAGGGGTTCAGTTCAGGGTGAAGAGTACACTTGTTATTAGCAAATATTCTCACTGAAGAACATAGAAATAAGTTTTTCTGTGCCATTTAACATGAAAAGGTCTGGACGTAGAAGTATTCCGACTTAAACACCCACGCAGCACTCTTACAGGTATTGTGCCACAAACGCTGCGATTACTAATCCTCCCAGAACAAACACAAGACACATCCACCATGACATCGTTTGTATTTTCAACACTGTAAAGGTCAGCAGTTCTGCTTTAGAGACCTGCCACGTGATGACGTGTCACTGAAAGGAGTTTCAGAAACCTCTGTTTTATGTAATGTGACGTTCACACAGAAACGATAAAGATGCTGGGAGTCAGAATGAAACAAGATGCAGAGAGCCTGAAACACATTTAACTATAAAGCTGCTCTCACACGCACTGGTTGACACACTGCTGAAAAAAACAAACGGATTTTATTAAGCACTGTCCCCACTGACACAGACACAAAGTACCGTTTGTTGTGTTGTTTCAGAGGACACAAAGCTTCAGTGGCTCTAAGCCAGGGGTGTCAAACTCGCTTACAAAAAGGGGGCCAAAATTAAAACCTTTTTCAAACTAAGGGCCAATTTCAGAATCTATATTAACTCAAGTTAAATACCCAGCATCTTTTCTTGGTTGCAGGTTCCTCGACAAGAGTTTGATTAGTCTCATTTGACGTTCTCTGTTGCAGTTTTGACATCATAATCAAAGATTACTGAAAAAAGTAAAGCGATAAATATATTTTACATTTAAAATAACATCTTGAGGGCCAGATAAGATGTCACTGAGGGCCACATTTGGCCCCCGGGCCTCGAGTTTGACACATATTCTCTAAGCTAAGCTCTAAAAATGTAAACCTCATCACTGTTAAAAACTGACCTCAGTGGCTGAACAGCAGCTTTGAACTAAAACAATCACTGATAATCAACTAGAACGTTCTTAGAGAACATGTTATGTGAGCGTCTTTTCAGCTTTCGCCAAAAAATGTTTGTACTTTTGTGTAGTTTCCCCACGGACACTAATGAAAATCTTTCACTCTGATATATTTATTTGTGTGCAGATATTTAGTGAAGAGCTACCGGCAGGCTAAAGCAGGCCAGCAGCTCAGTGGCATCGTGTCGTACCTGAACGAGTCACAGGACCGGAGGCTGCAGCCGCACGCCGTCGCTGCCAGACCACCGGTGGTCGACGTCAACGACCTGAGCAGCCTGGTGGAAGTTTACAAACAACGTGCCGCCCTGTAAGAGCCAACACTTCCTGTTTCTTTAATTATCTCGTTCAAAATAACAGGAAACATAATAAGTGCGAGTTCCCATTAATTGATTAGTCTTGTCATGTGACGGTGTCTGGTGGGTTCTGCTGCTCCAGACTGTTGCTCTCAGCTGGCACCTGTACATCTTTTCTGAGGAACATGATATCTTCCGCTGATTACATCACTCTTTAGTCATTTCTAAATCCATTTGCCAGAGAGTGTCAGCTGTGATGAGCACAAAGAGTCTCCAACAAAATGTAGCTCGTTACGTTCAAACGGAACAATGAAAGGCCAAGGATGAGGGGGTGATGGCGACCATTCCTACAGTTTGTTTAAGACCATTTTATAACAAATTAATAACAATACGGTCTTGTTCCTGAAGATTTATTTTAAAAAATCAACTGTTCTTTGTAATGTGTGGCTGTGTGTAGGCATCAGGGTGTGAAATGTTTGCTCTTTG